GTGGGGACCTGGTAGGACACACGCAGTCTAGCTTTACAGTGGTTTACTGAAAACTAGCCCCGTTTGTGGTATTTTCAGAAAAACAGGAAGTGACGAAACGGAGCTAGTTTTCAGCCTGCAAAGCCTGCAGAAGCCTTCCTCAAGCCTTTGGGAGGCCCCAAAAGGCCTCAAACCAGCCGAAAATCAGCTGTGAGGCGTGTGCATGCCCAGTGAAGTAAGTTTGCCTGCAGCTCATATGCTGGCACAAATGGCTCTGCGTGCCATAGGTTCGCCATCACGGTAATAAGAGTTTCCATGGTAAAATCCAGCATGGTATGTCTTTTTGTGGCTGATAAATTTATAGCCACAGCGTCTCCCTCTGATAACCCGAGGCAGGACTTCCCATCTAACAAATCTCTGCTAATTTCCCCTCCGTACCTTTGATTTAAGTTTAATGTAAATGAAATATAGTGAGTTTAATTAGGCTGTTACAAGTTCTGATAGGTAAAAAAAAAGGAGGGGGGAAGTTGCTTGTCACCCTGGAGACTGTAGGTTGTATATCACTGCCTTAAGGAATGCCAGGGAATGGAAGAAGGTGAAAAGTGAACTCTAGAATCTAGTGCTGCTGCATCCTTTTCGGACAACGCTCGTGGACCATTAAAATTTAATGCAGTTCAATTTATGATTAGAGGGTTTGGGTGCTGGTAAGAGAGCCGTATCGACAGAGGTGTCACACAAATACTGTTCAATTAATGCATAGCGTGGCAGGCATTAATATTAATTCAGCATTCCTTATCAAGGGCTATATTTTTGTTTTGTAGAAACACACACACACACACACACACACACACACACACACACACACACACCCTTATCCCTTGCACAAAAGCAGCCCTTTTTCCCCTCCACCCCTATTTCTGTCTTTGGCCATAAACTCCAGCTGAGTTTTAGGAGTATCAAGGGAGCATTCAATTACACTTAGGCCTTTTTTCTTTTTTTATTGGAGATTACACTGCAGGGCCCACCAGAGATTTGAACTCCGAGAAACAAGCCTATCTCAACTTGCAAAAGTGTGATTGCCGGATCATTAGGTCTGAAATTAACAGTTGCCCATAAATTTGGTTACTGAATGGAGTGGAAAAACATGGCAAAGACTCGACAAGTAGAAAATAAAGGTGAGAGAAAGTGGTTGGTTCTGTGAATGAGCTGAGATTATATGAAGCATAAACCCCGATTTACCAACAAGGATGGCTAAGATCTGTAGTAAGGACAGAAAGCGTTACAGGTTAGGGCCAAGTGTGAACAGCTCAACTACAAACAATCTATGGGTGTCTAAGCTTAACCATCAATTCCTCACTGGAAACTCATTTGAGACGATGGGTCTTACGGGTGAAATAAACCAAGAGTTGGTTTGAACTTTAGGCTCCTATAGGAAAGAGTGGTGTGGTGGCCTAGAGGCGGAGCTCTCGCCTCACAATCAGGAGGCTGTGAGTTCGATCCTAGGTAGAGACAGATATCACACTGAGAATATACACGCTAAACAAAACTCCGCATTGGCAACAAGGAAGGGCATCCGGCCATTAAAACACTCTGCTAGCTCCATTCAGTTGCCCAGACTTCACCCTGCAAGGATGCTGCAATTTGGATGGACAAGAGAACCTGCCTGTCCTGGCATCAAATGCCATGGAAGCTTATTGTGATTCTGCTTCAACTTCATCCTGATTTCTCCTTTTCCCCTAAGAAGCCCGCCGGACCTGTGTAGGAGACTGTTTCCATATACCATCCTTTGACTGTACACTCTTCCCCTGCTCTCAGGTCCAGCTTGTGACCTCTTTAGGTTCCCCTTTTCCTCTCGTGTCGAGTGCCATTGCAAAATAAAACATTGCAGGAAATGTGGGGCAGGGTGGAAGCCATTTTATTAACCACAGGAGGCAGATGGACGATGAGAGAAGCGGAAAGAAGAGCTAGATGCCGAATGAGCCCTCTGTGGGTTTTCGGGAGAAGACTACAGGTGGCACCACTGTCTCCATCTCTGTCTAAGCTGAGGTTTATTTCACGCTGGAAAATAGAAAAGGGAGAAAGAGAAAGATGGAAAAGAAGAAAACGACGCTGGTGAATATAATCCTTGCTGACTGGGTGGCATAGCACATGATAATCTGTTTTCCTGTTCTAGAGTTTTTAAAGGTACTCGATCGGCTTAACTTGTTCTAAATCACAATAAAACCTGCAGCCCATTCCAACAGCCAAGCAGCTGCTTGCGTAAACAAATTAGGGAAATGAAGATTTAAAAAATAATAATAAAAGGTTCGGGTATCACACTCTGGCCAATTTTTGACCACTTCATCCTCCCTGCTTTCTAGGGAGTGGACTCACCTTTGCAAGTCTTCTTGTCCCTGTGCAGAAGGTAGCCAATTTGGCAACTGCAATAGAAGCCGCCCAGGTAATTGTGACAGTAGTGGTCACAAGGCAACTCTTCATCAAGCTGCCCTTCGCACTCATCGATGTCTAAAAGAGAAAAACAAACGGAGGACCAAGATTGGCTGGTGGGATAAAAGGTGGCTCTTCCAGGCATGGTTTGTAGAAGTAGAGGCAGCGGGGTGGCTGCTCACGCACAACATGGGAAATACCAAAACTGGATTGTAAGCTGTGTCAGTTTATGGGTCTCCCTGGTCCAAAGCTCTTTGGTTTTCCATGTCTTTTGCAGATCTCTCCAAAATTTAATGTTACGACCCCTCCATTTTGATTGAGAGAATACGCACAAAACTATACTGTGACTTCGGGAGCACATTCTGTGCAATGATGGTATGCTACTGGTTTGGCCCAGTTTTTACAAACCGGTAGCCTTTGATCAGCTGAGAGGATAAAAGACTGAATAGCACATGGGAGACTTGCTCGTTGCTTTTCATTTCTTCATCCTCTCAGCTGCTTGGCTTGTTAGGGCATACACGTGTGCATGCACACGCAGGATCACCCACTGAACTGGTAGCAACTAAGGCAGGATCCTACTATTGATTCCATGTGAAAAGAAAGCCGACAAAACTAAATAAAAACCCCACTCCCTACTTCTAAATTTATTGATTGTGACAAGGGGCAGCAATTCTAGATTTGCCTCAAGAATTGTTTCCAGGAGATGCCAGAGTCTGAATCTTCTGCCGACCAAATATGTGCCAATTATGACACCCCATGATCAGGAAGCTACTTCCTACCATATCAGATGCCCATTGGACTCAAAACTGCCTCCATCAATGGGGTCTCAGGCAGACCCCTTTCCCATAACGTTGCCACCTTTCCCCCCACCTCCCTAGAGTCATCAAAACACAGAGCCGCCTCTAGCTATTTCCTGCTCTCACCTTCAGCAGCGTAGAAGGCCTCAAAACCTGTGAACTGCTTCTCGTTGGAGTAATCCGATCTGAAAGTCACTGCTAAGTTATTATCAATGGAGCGATATATATTTTTCCCGGGGGCCTCCTCGGTGTCCGTGCTCTCTTGCCCACAGAGAGTGGCCACAGCCTTTCCTCCCGAGTTCAGCTGTAAAGCAAACACAGAATCAGCTTTGCCAGTGAGGTGCATCTTCCCCCCCAAGTTTCTGTGGGGACCTGGTAGGACACACGCAGTCTAGCTTTACAGTGGTTTAC